TACTTCACCTGACATAAACTTGGCAAAAGTCAAGTCATTACTCAAAAAGTATCGTCATGCCCTACAGGGTGTTAGTGACACTCAGGGTCCATATGAGGAATTAACCAGATCACTTGACTTGGATGATGTTCAGGAGTGGAAAAAGGCAGCCGAAAAAGCGACTCAGGACCGCGGAGAGCTTCTTGACATCTATCAGCTTAAAATGGACAAAGGTAGGTCTTGTGTGGTGGACGTTGATTTTGCCCTGATGGAAAATAATTTAAAGCACCCTCTATGGCTGAAATACGTCTCAGATTGACTGAAAATGAACTATCTGCTAATGGTAGGACTGGGTCTGTTGCATGGTTGATCGAGGGTATAAATATAGAAAATTCTCAGTAAGGTATTCTGACTTTCAGATTGGATTGACTTAAATTGTGTTACTAGAGATGCCTTGAGATTGTCTATAAGGCAGCTGCCCCAGGATCCAACTGCTTCCCAGAGAACCGGGATTGAAGAAAAACGGCAAAAGCTCATGGCACGGATTATTAAGTTCCATGAGGCTGCAGAGGTCATGACTAATGGTATGGAATTGAAGGGAGGTGAAGGAGCACCACTGGACAACCCTGAACTGTGCCTGGAGGAGGCTGACATATCCAATATGGAAGATCCAGAGGAAGAGGACATTTTGGACTTCGACGGTAATATTGACTCACCTGCCGAAGTCACCGAGATTTGGATGCCATCATGGGCAGCCTCTGGTCACATCATGGATGATGTTGTCTTGGCATTACGTCAAGAAGAACTCGAGCTTCGAAAGGGTCAAGCAAACGACTGCCTGGAAAAGCTTCGTCAAGCCCTGGGTGATAGATCAGTCGTCTTTCGGGAGAAAATACACTCCAACAAATCGGTCCATCACCAGGGCACTAGATCTAAAAAGGAACTCCAAACGATAACTCTCTCCATCAACAGACATGCAAGAGGTTACAGCCGGGCAAGGGCTGCAATGCTCCGCCTAGGGGCTGACTCTGATACAGTGGCAGTGTATCAACCCCTAAAGCCTCAGGACCTAGTGGTGAGCAAAGAAGTCACAGAAGAAAACAGGCATGGGCAGGGTTCAGATAAATTGGCTTGGTTTTGGAGGATCAACAATGCGGAGGACAGTCAGAAGAACATATGGATGAATGAGTGTAAGTTTTATTGTGATCTGTTTTTTATCAAGTGAATTACCTTATTTCCCCATTTCCAGTTTATCGTGTGAATTGGTTGAAAGCTAAAGCACGGTATGACCGTTGGTCAGAAGAACTGAAATTGGTACAACATGAAATGTTTTGGACCATATCCTGGTTTCGGACACAGGAGGAGAGGTGGAGAGTTCGGGCAGATGAAAGCATCAAGAATGGGAATAGGGCATATGCTGAGAGGCAGGCATCTATGTGGGCAGAATTTTCAGCTCAGGGCCTCAAGAATTTTGAAGGAAAATTACTTATAACAAGTTGATATTTCACGAGTTGATATGCTAATGTAATGTTGATCTTCCTGACTTGAAAAAAGTGTGATGTGAGTATTCAGAATGTAAACAGATTCTGGCCTAGTGGCCTGCCCAGCTCTGCAGTACGTGGGCCGTGGCCGGCCAGCCTACAAATGAATTCTTGCTGGGCCAGCCCCTCCTTACAGGCTGCAGGAAGGGGCCGGCCGCTATCATGTGGGCATCTGGCCCAGCAGGCCTGTCCATTTCTGTAGTATGTGGTATGTGGCCGGCCGGCCAGGAATGAATTCTTGGCCAGCCAGCCTCCCCTTGCAGCATGCGTAGGGGGGCCGGCCGCGGGCTTTGGGCATCTGGCCCAGTGGCCTGCCCACCCCTGCAGTATGTGGGGAGTGGCCGGCCGGCCTGGCAGAGAATTCTTGCTTGTAGGGCCAGCCTCCATTTGAGACCTGCAGGCCATGGCCGGCCGACATGATTTGGGCATCTAGCCCAGTATAGGAAGTAGAACTTGACTTAGTGTTGTTAGGTGTGATGATAAGGGGTACTCCATAAATGTTGTTAGAAAATGAGTGTATAACCCACTGGAGCTTTACTGAGTGGTTGGGTCATAATGGGGAGGAGGTGTACTCTATACATCAATTGTAAGGGCACAGGTGCCAGTCTCCAACTCTCCTGCTTGGTCAATTCTGTTGCCAGATAAACGACAAAAGTATTGAGAAAGTATGTCCCAAGAGTCTACAAATTGGTGCTGGAGGCTAGTTTTGTGGCTTGGCTCTAAAGGTCAGATCACCACATAAAGTTCTGGAATGCAGTATGCAGGAGTAAATAGATGTGTCATAAACTATAAATTAAACACACAACACACCCACTCCAAGAAATATCTCTTCAAATGTACTCAAATTTGCTTCAAAATGACAACTTTAAAATCCATGAATGCTATTGTCAAATCTGTTAAGTGTGCCTAATATTTACTCACATGTATGCCAGCAGTATGTCCCTCCATGCAGACCATAAAAGGAAGTCAGAATTCATTGCTAGGCCGGCCGGCTACCTCCCACATACTGCTGGGGTGGGCAGGCCACTGGGTCAGATGCCCAAAGCATGTCGGCCGGCCTGGACCTGCAGGTCGCGAATTGGGGCTGGCCCAGCAAGAATTCATTCCTAGGCCGGCCGGCCACATACCACATACTACAGAAATGGACAGGCCTGCTGGGCCAGATGCTCACATGATGTCGGCCGGCCCCTTCCTGCAGACCGTAAGGGGGGACTGGCCTACTCAGCCAGATATGAGAAGCAAGCCGGCCGGTCCCTTCCCACAGGCTGCTACTGTGGGCTGGCCCTGTGAGCAACAATTGTTCCCTAGACCGGCCGACACCCTGCCACATATTGCAGAGGCAGGCTGGCCTACTGTGGCAGAAACCAGCAGCACAGCGGCCGGCCACCCCATACAGCCTGCATGACCAGGCCTACCCACATGTCAACCACAGCCTGGATATGTATATAGGTAGTGCCTGCAAGGGTCTGCAAGGGTCTGCATCACCGGCCTACACAGATACTGCAGAGATATCATTCTGTATATAGGACACCGGCCTGCACAGGTTCTGCATGACCGGCCTATACAGGCAGTGCATTGGCCGGCCGGTGTCCTGTACACCTGGTTTTGCAGGTCAATGTGCATGTCCTATCAACAGGTTATGCAGTACATATGACTGAAGGGTCTGAACTAATAAGAGATCTTCATGTGCTCGGGCTCACGTTGCTTTGACCCAAGCTTTGAATTTGTCAAGGCAATCCCTAGAGCAATCTCTTACATTGAATCCAGTGTATGCTTTCTACATTTCCAAAAAGTAAGTGAAACATGTATACACAATTGGTGCTCACCCTTGTCCTATTGTAGCAGTAGGTGGCTCCGGACAGATGAACAAACTCCTCCCATTCCCCATAAACCTCATTCCTGCCAATGTCAGGGTCAATGTTCTACTATTAGAAAGCAAAAACCGACTTAAGAAGGTTGAATTGCAGTCCCTGCACTGTAAAGTCTGAAATTAGAGGTGGCACCTTGTATATGGTAAAAGTTAGCATGGATATAATGATATCAAAAATAATGGGTGCTCACCTTCTTACCTTTTGGGCATACTGCCCCAACTGTGTCAGCCGCGCAGGAGTACTGTGGTCCAGCGGAATCTTCTTCTGTTAAAGGCATCGATCGCGGTCTGAAGCGCAGGGATGAGAGGCTATCAATGGACATACCAGCATTAATGCTGTTAATGTTATGATTTAGATTTTGAGAATTGGAAAATCAACAATAAAAGATAGATAGATACGAGATCATGGCACGCATAATCTTTCCAAAACGCACAAAGCTTTCGTCGATGTTGATGTGGCACAGATTTTGTTTATCTGTAGTTGTAGTGGCTGTGCCACATGATTCAGTATACTGCTGGACGCGGATGTTGGACGGTATTACTAGTAGTAGTAGGCAAAATCAGATGACAGTGATCTTGGACATTAGAGAGGTGCTGGTATATAGTTCATTCCAAATGACTTCCCCTATAGTACCGCTATCAGGGTTCATAATCATACTCATGTCGAACAAACATATCATCTAACTCCTCTACAATCAATTCAGAACTCTGGTTTTTCTCCTGGTCAAATAAATCTCCTTCTTCAACACCTGTGTGATCGTCCTCCAATGCATCCTCTGGCTCATATTCATTTCCGCCAATGTGTTCATTGCAGGGGGCCTCATTGAGACTGATAGTTTTGGGAGGAGGGTTGAGCGCCTCTTCATGAGAGTATACATGCCCTACCCCTAGACCATAATGAAAACACATCAGCATGTCTCAATCTATAAATCTATGTTTTAAATCAGTAAAGCAAAGGTTAAGAAGGTTGATCATACACACCGATTGACCAAATATTGACACCAATCACTTTTATCACCGGCTATGCCTGACAAGCCTTGTCCATCCTTGTGTCACATGTCTTTGGAGAAACAAGGGATGATGTGAGCAGCTCTCATAACATCAGCTGGACTTAGAAATCCAAAGGCATCTTCACTATCCAATGCAGGAAAATAAAGGCGATCCAAGGCGGTCCTGCCAGGGTTAGCATGCCCCACTGGCTCATACCATCGTACAAAAAGAAACTCCATTCTAAGGGCAGTATGATAGGGACCGCCGGTATACACAATGTTAACATGGTGCACTCCTGGCACCCTGGCATAGCGATAGCACCCACCACAATCACTATTATCACTAGTGCTATTAAGAAGCATGATGTCGCGGTGTAAGGTCTTGGGATTGATGACATCTTGATCTTGTCGCATGTCGTAAGTTGTGTAGTTGAAGCGAGCGATGTTATGGTGATATATGCGATTGCATTTGAAGAGGACTTGATCTGTTCCTCCTTCTGCTTGTTGACATGAATCGCCTGGTTGAGATGTCAGGATGCGCAAAAGAAGATGCTCTTTTAGGTGTGAAAAGTAATTCTATAATGAAAGCATGTTCAGCTATCAATGAATCATTGGTAGAGAAGTATGTACCTTCATGGCTGGATCACCTTCATCCAACCGCAGGTAAGAGCCAATGTCGTCATTTGACTTCTCGCACAGGCCAATGTGGTGGTGTATGCAGAGTTTGTAAGTCATACTATCTGCCGCTTCACTAGCTCTTGGTTCTTCAAGATGATTTTTGATACACCTAATACGGGTTTGGCGATGCTCAATTTGAGTGAGCTGGCGTATGAAGGATTTCTCATCTGTTCTAAGATATTGTCTCTTGCCAGTGTGGTGTTCCAATTCTCCCTGTCCAGATGCTTCAGATAATCAGTACAGCTGCAATTGTCAAAGCTTACCGGTTCAGTACTGTAAGAGTCGGTTGTTCTGAAGCGTCAAATACAAGACACATAGTCTCCGAGAGCATGGATTTTGTAAGTCTGCAGGTTGAAGGAAACTGTCCTATGAAGTTTGTTGCGATCCATTGGTTCCTCTACCGTCGTAGTAGTAAGGAGGCCATTGGTAACAGATTTGTTGTTCTTGCCAGCCTGGGTCTGATGAACTGCTTCTTTTGCTTGACGGCGTGAACATGTGTTCACTTCCTTGTCAAGCTCTTTGGCATTGTGGGCTGAGCATACCTTGACCTTGAAGTCATGGAGCTGGTTGCTGATATCAGTAGTAGTTGCATCAAGGATATCCAACGTCAAATCTGAATGCATGCGGAGCTTTGATAGGCCGTGCCAATGAGCCAGCATGAAAAGAAGGTCCTGCACTATTTGGTTTTGAGGAGCCGTAAAAAGACCATCAAATACCAGTATAGCATACTTCAGAAAATCAGCTGAGCTAATCTAGCCTACACGTCGCACGTACCTGGAGGAGATCTTCAAAATTATGCGCCACCATGTTGGAGAGCTCTGATGTATTTGCGGTAAATCTTCTTATAGTATATTGTGCAAATGATAGAACCAGTCAGTATCTATGAGAGGACATAACAAATGAGCATTCATCTCATTGAGAATAAAAAAGTTACCAGACCTCCTGTCTAGCTCATGCACTAGATCTTTATCAATAGAACATATAATCCTAAGTAAATGTATTAGGAGTGAACACCAAACTCCAAGTTCCACTTCATGAAGAAGATCCACCACTAGCCCTTCAAATATATTGAAGCCTCAACAACTAAGACACTTAGAAAAGGTGTTCTGACAACCTGTCAGCTTGGCCGAAAGAATCAATCAAGTTGCTTACATAGGTTGGCACCCAAGAGCAAGGTTTCAGTAGATTTTCTACTGCAGTGCTGTCTACTCCATAATTCTTTTCATATATAAGTTTCCTAGCGGTGATAACCAATTGTTCCTGATCGCCATCTGAGCGCTGGTGTGTAGTGCGCTGCTGTCTATCTCGAGTCATACCAAGATTGTGCAGTCAACTCTTTGGAATCAAACATCTTGGACAGGGACATCCACCTTGTTGACAGATAGTTGCGATAAGAGCTCTGGTCTCGTTAGCTTCTGACTT